TTAATGATATTAATGATATTGGCATAATACATTTTTGGATATTTTTTAGACTCCACAAAATTTTTTTTATCGATATTTATAGATAAAAATTTAAAATGTATAAAAAAAGTCAACATATTTTGAAAATGATATCTTGTACAAAAATGCTTTTATAAACATTGGCTATTTGGGTGAACATTTCAGATATCTGCAGTACCTGAATCGTTTTTTGATTACAGCAAAATAAGATAATCGTTCATTTATGGGTGAATATCTAATGTCGCAAACATTTTAACTTCAGACTACGCCAATATAAAGTGAATGTGACTTTCCGATAAACGTTTTTTTTTTTGTGAAAGGTAGAAAAACTTATAATGAATCTTGGATTTTGATTTTAAAATTTAAGATATAAAATGAAATTTTTTATGAATTCCTAACTCAAAAAAGCTTGCAAATTTTCGTGATAACGACAAGTTGTTGAAAAAAAATTGAACTTTAAACGCCTATACAAAAGTATAGGGACTGTATTTTCGATATTCTTTAGTTGATAGATACATATTACATATATTATGAAAATATATTATCAACTGGGACATATTATTTGAACTTTATTTTCTGAAACTTTCTGACTATGGTTAACATTTTAATTCAAAAGGCCCTAAACACCCACACTAAATATAATCATTTACTTATAACAAGTTTCCAAACCCGTTACAGTAGGTAATAGTAATAATCTTGTATTCTTGTCTATAAATCACTAAAAAAAGAAGAATGTTCAAACTTTTGTTTAAAACTAGGTAAAAGGTACATATAATATTAGAAAACAATTTAAGGGCAAAACATTTTAAAAATAAATAGACTAAGTTGGTCTTTCATAAAATCAAATCTTATAAGTCCACTTATGTATAAGGTATCTTAGTGCAATTTATAAATATTATACATAAATTTAAGTATAAATTATATGAAAGACGTTCAATACAATATTATATATTAATAATACAATTACATATAGATACGTACACATCTAGACTCTAGACTCTATAGAGAGCCTATAATATAGTCAATAAATTAGTCATAAATAGGCCCAGTATTAACAATGAAACGCCACGCGCGGTTTTCTCACCCGTTAAAACACAACAGTATGTCATCGTCATTTTTAAATAGAATACTATTGTGAACTAATATCCTAGAACATTTTATCGATCAAGTATAACGTGCAAGAAATATTGTGTAAACACGTAAATTAATCGAATTTGCAAACAATATTTTTTTTAGCATATTTTTAATGAATTTTAATGGTCTATCATTGTTCGTTACACAATACGATTATAAACGTATATAATATATACAGACACCAGCACCTACATAAGTAAATTAAAATAACGAACATACATTTTTAAAACATTGTGCTGCAGGTTTCGAGTAGTAGGTAGATATAATAATTAATAACAATTTAATCGATCAAACAGATCAACTGCACGTCGTAATGCCGTAGTAGTCGGACTGTTGTGGAACACATATTATAATACATATGTTTCTAATCCCGTTTAAAGCTATGTGTCTTGTAATCAAATGGTGAAAATAGTTACAACGAATATTATACCAAGCGTGCGGAGCGACGGTGGCAACCCGCCCAATTTAGACGCGCGTGGACGTCAAAAACCACAGTGGCAAACTGGTAAAACATTTTGTCTCAACGGTGAACACATATTATAATATACGAGTGTATTATAGTAGGTATGCTGCGGTACGGCGCCACCCCGCACGAGAATCGAGATACACCCAAATCAGACTCGTTTAATAAAGCGTATTACACGTCTGTAATAAATAATTTAATACATAATACCTACGACACGGTTGTCTCGAATTAAACAGCAGCAGTACACTCCGAATTCCGAAGTTCGAAATATAGATTGCTTTTTTGCCCACACAAAACTCTTATTTCATGCACACACTATAATAACATTATCCTTCTCATTTATATAATATTATTAGATATGTTATCGAAATATCGAAAAAAAATTAATATGCTCTAGGCGATAATAGTTTTAAATGATCATTGTGAAAAGTTATCATCCAAGGCTACTTACTAAATCCATATAATATCATATATTAAAATAACCGATAGCAAAATTGTCTGGCATATATAAAATGTTATGTGTCTTCTCGTATACACATTTATAATAATAATCGATTGTTGTACAAGACTATTATTTTAATACCAACATTATAGAGTGGTAGTGAATTAATTAGTGACATGTAATTGTTCACGTAGCCAACCAGCTTACCTATACTGAAACGAATAATTATATAAATATATTAATATTATACATTCCAACAGGTGAATAAGTGCAAGCGGTCAATGTTCGACTATTTAGATACCTGCCTATGTAGGTAATGCGTTTATTGTTCTAATTTTTTCTTGATCGTTTCCATTAACTACATCACCGGTTTCATACATATGATAAACAGCAAGTCTTAGTCTTTTAACTACCAATAAGTTATATTAACGAGGACGCAACTTATAAACGTTAAAATGTGCTTAAATATAATATCTCCAAAAATGTTATTAAATACCTACAGGTAGGTACACTAAAATCGTAGTAATAAAAATAAATTTTTAAAACAAATAGGCACGTTTTAAATTAATGTTTTAATTGACTCGTAAAAATAACAAAGAGTAAACACAAATAAAACGTAATAGTTTAAAATTAGAGAAAATATAGTTTTATTACTTCGATATGTACTATTAGAAGATTTATTTTCCCTAGAAACTGGTTAAAAATGTATTTAAAAAAGGAAAATAATATTTTTGCTATATCTTGAAGCAAAAAAAAATCTTATGTTTTTAATCAAACAATGACAGTTTAAATTATTTAAATTATATCTATATGAATAACCCGGTAAATGGAAGAACAATTTAAATGCACGAAGTATAATATATTGTATTTTTTATACAAAAAATGTCTTATATGTATTCACTCCATTTTTAATATAGTTTTATATAACTTTTCAGAAATATAATTTTTCGTTGAATTTTTCAAACGTATTTAAAATTTTAAAATCTAAATAAACATTATTTAGAAAATATGTTCTATTGTATTTTTGTGAAATTACATTTTCGACGCCATGTCTGCGTTTTGCATAATATACTATTCGAAGTACGACTCATTTGGAAAAATTATGGAGATAAGCACAAAAATATTATAGCACATATTTCTTTACTAGGAACTCCTTATAAAATCTCAATAAAACGAATATAAAATAGTTGAAGCTGGTCCGCCATGTTCTGGGTTGCAAAAATGTGAAATGGATATAAACATTGCTAACTATTTAGGTAATATACCAACAAAAAAACAAAGACACACATATTATTTACATATTACATATATATCCGTCTGTAAATTGTCTGTAAATTCGACAACCGAGAAATGGCAAAGAAAAATTTGATTGATGACACAACTACACAAGTTGCTTCTCTAATGTAGATTAGAAGTGTGCGTATTAAGGAAATGTTAATAATTATAATATAGAACCTAACTACTTCTTGTTGTGAAGGATGCATGTACCCAGGCGCGTAGCTAGAAATTTCAAAGGGGGGGGGGGGGTGTTATTCAAACTTAAGAGGACGCTAAGACGCGTGTGTTGTCTCTGTCTTACACACGCACGACATAACAAATTGTCGTTCACTATTTTCAATAGTGAGCTGTTAGTTTTGATACTAGAGTGAATCGACATATTATCAAACTTTTAGGTAAGAACATTATCTGGGTCTTAGCTTGGGCGATTTTTCGATACTTTCACTTTTGAGAAAAATAAGTGTATGGAAATATTAAAAATGCTCATATCTCGCTTGAAAATTATTTATTATACAAACGTATTACAACTTACCCGTGAATAGATAATAGTTTAGAATAATAGTTCTCTTATATAATATTATTATAAATAAAAAAAAAATGAATACATTTTTAAATTAACTTAATGTGTCGACTTTTTGAGGCTAGTGTATCTATTATTTCGTCTGTGGTTACGACTAAATCTCTTTGGATATTATTATAACAGCTAAGCCATTCGAGCGATTTTCACCAGTTGTATTTCTTAGATATGTTTTCAAGCGTCTTAATGAGGAAAAAGACGTTTCACTGCTTGCAGTTGTTACAGGTAAAGTAATCAATACTTGTAAAAGTCGATAAACAATAGGAAATATGTCTTTTTGCTGTCAAAGAAGGCTTCGGTAGCATTTTTAGGATTTTTAGGATTTTTATTTTTTATATGTTCATACCATATTGCAAACTCACCAATTGCAGATATTTCATCAGTTTCAATATCTGAAGAATATGTCTTAAGAAGTTCTTTAAATTCGATATCATTTTTTCATTTGCATTTATTAAACAAGTAAATTGTTTTAATAGTGATTTATGGTTCAAAAATCTGTCATTTAGTTGCTCACAGAAATGATCCAAAAAAGGTACAAAAATCAAAATCCTAAAATAGACTTCCGGTGATTCTGTTGAAATTCTAAAACGATTTGTTCGGTTTATAGCTAGTTGAGGTATTGAAATTGTAATCCCCAATGATAGTTGATACCATAGAGTAACACTCTAATGATGAAGTTGTAAACAAGTTGTAAATACTCTGCATTAAAAGATATCTTGTATCGTACATGAAACGAGTCAACGATAAACTGACACAGAATGGTCTAAAATAATAATTATCTAATTCCGTGTGCCCGTGTCCAGGTTTAAATTATAAAACATAGTACACCACGGTTGAGGGGGGGGGGGGTGTTACTACACCTGTAACACCCCCCCTGGCTACGCGCCTGCATGTACCTACCTATAAAATATATTATTATTAATCTTTCAATTTTTATTTTTATTAATATTCCGCAAAATGCACATAGTACTATCTAGTCCCTTAAAAATCGTTACAATTGCGGTGATTTATCAAATCATTATTAAAGAATATTGTGTAACAACTGCAGTTTCATATAATACATAGAAATAAAACTATTAATTTACCTGTTCCGATTCCGATAGTTATGTACAGAGTTACCAGACTGTTGGCGAATACACTAGTCATCAAACAAATGCTCGCAAGTATAGCTCCCGCAATAGTCACCAAACGACAACCATATTTGTTAACGAAAATACTGGCGATGGGTCCTGTAAAAAGAAGTCATAGATATTAGATTTTAGATATTAGATATTTAGATCATAATGAACACTTTTAAAGAAGAAATATTTCACAGGGTTAATTTATGCGTCTATAACAATTTAAAAATAATAATAGCCTATCATATGGTGTGATTAATCCTTTGAACTAACAAAAAAAAAATAAAATATTAACTATAAATTAATATACTTTAATGTAAATACCTACTTTACTTTAATAGATACTACTAACTACTTCAATATGCGGCATTAGTATATTCTTAAAACCAAATAGAATTAGGGATTAAAATATATGGGTAGCGTTGCTAATATATAAAAGTTGTAACTAGAAATATGTATAAGGTTAACTAGAAATTTGTTAGTATCATATTGTTAAATTTCATTATTCTTATGAATTCATACCATTTATATGATTACAAATTAGGGCAACAAATGCATAATATTCTACATTATTTAGGTTTAGTAAATTACGTCTAAAAAATAATGTGATGCATTTATGTGAAAGAACAGGAAAAAAAATAATTTTGTTGCATTATCGGTATATCTACGTGTTATACACCACTCATACTCAAATAGTTAAATATAATTGGCATTTGTCCAGAAAGTTATGAATGTATTTAATGGTTTTTATTGAAGAGCTAACAATCATTATACGGTAATGTCACTTCATAACTAATAATTTAAATACCTAGTCAAGTCAAGCCAAGTCAAAGAACACTGGTTTGTAGACAAAGATAACTAAATATATTATATGCACAATTACATGAATATTAATTACATGTAAAACAAACACAACACCTATCTACCTACCTATTATTATTATAATATAATATAACAAATAATATTATTCTAAATAATTCCCATTGAAAATTAACATATTTTTTTTCAGTGGTGTGAAATGCGGCAGCGTATTACAACTTTCCGTCCGAGAGAATTATAAATTACATTTATTTCATTAATGACAACCGATACCTATGCACAATTTTACCACTGTATTTTAAAATGTGTACCTACCTACAGGTTTCATCTTAGGGAAATAAACGTCTATATCTCAAACATAAATTAATGTTTGATACACAATAAATATGTAAGGAAAAAAATAATAATAATTTTACATAACGAGTTTATAAATTATATAGTGAATCTTTTAATTTAGACTTCACTGAATACTCGTTTCAGATTATTTCATTTCATTTCCCCAAATGCAACAAAGGACTTATGTTATGATTTATATCCTATATTACTAGATTATATAAATGTATTTAATGTACTTAACTTCATTGTGTTCGTTAAAATTAGGAGCATCATATTAAAATCAAACAAAGTGAAGTTGAAAAAACATGAACCAAAAAATAAATAGATACCTAGGTAATAAACAATAAAATCTATAGTATTTAAATAAAATTAGTTTGGCATATATTATGGCTAAGGTTATTATAATAATAACAATATACGCCGTGCCGTTTGAATAGCGGCCATTGAGAGCGTGTTTTACACATATTATACCAAACGAGAGAAAAATTGAAAAGAAATTCAAATTTAATTTAAAATATATTTGCCGGTGTACAATAATAGTATAGTATAATATACATGAGTATACTTATAGGTACTTTAATAACTATAATATTACCTATAGGTCGTACATACACTGTAAAACACAATCAATCGATAGGCAATTGAACATTTTTTTTTTTTTATAATGCATATAATTGGTATTTTTGATTCAGAAAAATATAGAAAGTCATAGAAAAATTGAAAAGAGTTCAAGGCTCAAGTTTTTATAAGATAGGTACTATGATAGTTTACAATATACAAGGTACTAGGTAGTAAAAAAGCGTATAGGTAAGAAAACACAATTAAATCAGATATCACCTAAAGATGATTTTACTTCCAAAAAAAGGATACATAGTGTGATACATTTGGATATCATAGGTATCTTATGAACAATATTCCGGACAATTAATATACATTTCGATAATTGAGCGAGGAACAACTAGCTGTCAGCGATAATATTATGCCAAACAAAATAATAAGATGTTATATTATGAAAGAGACGACGGTGCCAGAATATTAATGTGCTACTATTTACAATTTGATGGCGGCAATTATCAAAATATCTGAAAACAGTTATTGGTTTTCCTACAAAATTAATTCGTAGGAGGAAAACAGCGGTAACCACCACTATAAAGGAAACCATATAAAAACCATATCAAACCATTTAATCATGAACAAATTGCATGTATTTCCAAGAATATTTTTTATTTTTTGAAAACAAATTGTACATGCACCAAGCAAAATAAATAGATAAATGGTTGACACTTATTATCAACACTAACAAAAATTATTGATGTTTAACATATTTTATCTTTTAACATTAAAAAATACTTATTTAGGTAGTATCATGATGTTAATATTAAATTATAGTTTCACTTAAAATTGTATTAAAACATTAAATCCACAAAATAAGTAATTATTGTAAAGTTTTTTTTTTTTTAAAGCATTGTTTCAATTAAAACATTTGCATATTATACCCCATAATATGTCGCAATGTTGCATATGTCCAAATTGTGCATACCTATATGTTAACAGTAAAACTATAACCAACTAACAATGCATAATAATATTATCAAATTTAATGTGAAAATGTTAAAAGGCTATATACTCTAGACACTATATTCATTCTGATAACTTTCAGTATAAGCAAAGTATGATCAACGATTAAAGATTATCAAAATAGATTTACATAAAAGCATAACATATTTTAAATATCTATTTTACAAAAATCTAAATAATATGCAAGAATTATATTTTTAGATTCTGAGCGGATTTTTGTATCTTCAGCACATTTGAAGCAGACTATTAATCTCAATAAGGTTATAAATATGCGTGTTATTACTGATTTCTGGAAAATTTGAACTGGTTGGTGTAATTTCTAGTACTAAGTTGGAAAAAATCGGGGGTAAACCATAAATAATAAAGAAATGGTTGGGGCGTACAAAATGTAGCATTGGTTACTGAATACTGGTATCATTGATTATTGGTAATTGGTTGTCATTATTATTGACGATAACAAAATATAATTTAAAGCCGGGTTTACCGTGTCGTGTAAAATAATCAGTTACCACAGTTATCTATGAGGGTAAATGGGAATATTTACGCAGTAATTTATAAAGGAATAATAATCATAGACATGAAAACTTAACAAAATGTTTATTATTAATTTTTAAACTTATTAAAAAGATTGAAAATAAAAATTATTTTTGGACTAACTTTTTATACCATGAATATATATATATATATATTTACAAAATTATACGGTACGTAAATATGTTGGATCTAACTTATATACGACTTTTTTTGCAAAAATAAGTTCTACAACTATCGAATAGGTACTAATTGTATGAATATATCCTAAGAAATAGGAGTTAATCCACACTTCTATTTCACTCGCAGAATCGTTTACGTACCTGTCTTGTATAATGATAATTCAAATTCATTATAACATATCCATTACAATGGCCTATTCGATAACTATTAAATACTTTTGAAACCTAAATACAGCAGTTAGTAGAGCGACTTCACTGTATTTTCATTTGCAATTAGATCTATGATTACTCTGACTTCCGCTTCAATAGTGTTATATGTATATGTAATAAAGCTAAACCAGTAAGTTTGCATAAAAATTGTTTGATATCCTCATCATCAAACGTTTTGAAATTGCCGATAACAACCATAGTTATCAATATGCCCAAGAGTAACTGTGTTTGTTTCACTTTATTACCTTTACTGTATTTAAAACATCTTTTAAAAAATATAGTAAATAATTTCTGTTTATTACTTTATTATTTTAATTATTAGCTACTATAAGTATCTACTATCTAGACATAACCTCCCCTCTTTGTTTTACAATGTTAGATTTTACAGCTTATTGCTTATGTACGCTTAGGTTATACTTTTGGCTTTTTATTTTATTTTTCATGTAAAACATAGAAAATAAAATAACCTTATAAACAATAGTATAAAAAATGAAAAATGAAAAATATAAATGAAATATATACGAAGTATTAACAGTCTGTTATTGTTTTAATCAACTATGCATAATTAATTTACGAAACGAACGAAATTCAACCTAATTTAACCATAGCATTTCATTCGAAACAAACACAAAAATAGCTAACTTAACAGATCAATACATGAAGTCAACAAAATAAGCCTCCAAATTAAGTTTTTTGTTTTACTAGAATAATGTATAATGTATTATTTACATTAAAGTTAAGGTTTAGTATTTTAAAGGCTTGTAAAATATTACAATACAGTATTTTAAAGGCTGGTAAAATATTACAATACAACACACTTGCAAGTTACAAGGTTTATACGTATAAATACAAGTTTATTTTATAACATTAACTACCATATAAGGTTTGAGACTTTTCTTGTCAGTAGATGTATGCGATAAAAATGACGAGTTCAGGAACATATGGGTTTATTACTTAACAACATTATACCTAGTTTAAATTAATATTATCTTAAAATTCTTAATAAACAGAAATAAATAATTATAATCATAAATATGATATTCTAAATAATTAATATTCTATCTGTACTTTTAGATAACAAAATAATGTAATAGTTATAACATAGTATAATTTTTCAATTATCATACTATATTTTTTATCTTGTGATTTTTTTATGAAGTTTGTAACTACCAAAAAAAATATGTTTACATTTATTATTTTAAGCACGAAAATAAATTATAAACACTCAATTGATGTTAGAAATGCATAAAATTTAATATAATTTCAACTGATTATTTATGCGTCATAATTAAATTGTGATTTGTATTATATATATTATTATTTATTATATAGGCACCATATACGTTTAACATTCAATACTAATTGATAATATAATACTTACCTATAACAAACTCGTTTTATTTTTGCATTAAACCTTATAATATATATTTTATAATGTATAAATAACAATATGTT